AAAGAGAGAGAATTCAGGATTTACTGGAGGATTTCTTTAGTGAAACCCTGAAGTGTGGAAGGGCTTAGAATGCCTTGTGCGAATTCAAAATGCATAGCTAAAGGGACTGGATGAGGACTTTCCATCACGATGGTCAGAAGCTGAAGGCTCTCGTTCCATATCTCATCAGAATAAGAAAACAATGACATAGTATAAAATCGGCCGCACGGCCCACTTAGATCAGAGTCAAAACTATTCTTTTTCTTTTTAAATGTTGATTATTTTGGAGAGAGAGTGAGCAAGCAGGGGAGGGGCAGAGAGAGAGAGGTACAGAGTATCTAAAGTGGGCTCTGTGCAGATAGCCTGATGTGGGGCTTCAACTCATGAACTGTGATATCATGACCTGAGTCGACGTCAGAAGCTTAATTGACTGAGCCAACCAGGCACCCCGAGCCAAAACTATTCTAACAGTCAGATTTTACCATTCAGAGCAAATTCCCGGTGCCTAGTGACTGCTGGTTGGTACCAGCAGCTCAACTCAACATTTCCTGGGTGTCAGGCACTTCCAGAGACCCTGGGATGGAGACACTAATAAGATCCACCCCATCCTTTTGAGAGGCTTGACTGGCCAGGGAGTCTCATAAAGATATAATTTTGGCTACTGTTATGAGCTAAGAGGAGGGGATGTCTTAGCTCAACCTGGGGTTGAGGTTGCCTTAAGCAGGTGACATAGAGTGAAGTTTGTTGTTGTTTTTTTTAGGTTTATTTATTTTGAAAGAGAGAGAGAGTATGAGCAAGGGGCAGAAAGAGAAGGGGAGAGAATCCCAAGCAGGCTCTGTTCTGTCAGAACAGAGCCCAACGTGGGACTTGACCCCACGACCCTGGGATCAGGACTTGAGCCAAAATCAAGAGTCAGACAGATGCCTGATGGCCTGAGCCACCCAGGCACCTCTACACTTGAGTGAAGCCTGAAAGACAAGGGAACAGTATTCGGGGGGCAGGAGTTGTGGGCAGAGAGCAGCTTGAACAAAGGCACTCAGAGGCCTAAACTACTCAGGGGGTACGTATACAGGATGACAGGGCTACACTGGGCAAGCGTGACACTTGGTGGGATGCAAAGTCTCAGAATCAAATGGCAACCAGATCCTGGAGGAGGATCTTGCGAGGCCTGATTGAGGAGCTAATAATAATAAGGACAGCTGCTATTTACTGAGCATATACTATGTTGTAGGCACTGTGTTAAGCGCTTCAAAGCATTATTTCACTTAATCCTTACCATGACTCGATAATCCCCATTTTACAAATGAGGGAGGGCATGGAGGATTAAAGAGGAAGGTTACTACATCAGGCAACACAGCCAGTAAACAGGAGGCCTGGGTCTGAAACCCAGGAGGCCTCGATTCCAAAGCTCTTATCTCCTCCAAAGAATGACTGGATGGGCACCTGGGGTCTATCACAATGGCTACAGGGTGGAGAACTCGGGTGGCCCAAGTGGGGACCTACCACATGGCAGGTATAGAAAAAGACAGATCAATGAAAAGAAAGACGTTCCAAGAGACTGAGAAAAAAAAACATTCAACAGGCACTCCTCCAAGAGCATTCAACAAGCAAGTGGGGTTTTGCCAAGGGGTCTAGGAAATAAACACAGTCTGCATTAATGCCTCCAAGTTCACAGGGTGAAACTATGCATCTTTGTCTTTGCCTTTCACACCCTCCCCTATGTTAAACTCAACAGGAGCAAAGACCAAGTCTATCTTATTCACTCAGGAGAGTGCCTCCAGGTCTGAGTCTGGCACAATAAGATACTCTATATATATTGCTTGGAAGGAAGAAAGTCCTGGCCACCTTTTCCAATGGCACCAATGACGTATCGTTCTTAATTGGAAAAACAGGGTTAAAAAAAATAAAGAAAAAATTGTAAAGTTGCGTTGATAACTAAGGATCGGTAAATTAAAATGGAAACTACATGGGGTGCCTGGGTGGCTCTGTCAGTTAAGCGTCTGACTTCAGCTTAACAAAAACTGACTTCATGGTTTGTGGGTTCGAGTCCCATGTCGGCAGGCTCTGTGCTGACCGCTGGGATCCTAGAGCCTGCTTCGGATTCTGGCCTCCCTCTCTCTCTGCCCCTTCCCCGCTCATACTCTGTCTCAACCTCAAGAATAAACAAACATTAAAAATAAATAAATAATAAATAAAATGGAAACCATGTAGCAATTATGCCAGCTACACAGACTGTAATGGGGATTCTTCAGCGATGGGGTGCTACCTTGATAAAAGGTCTGATGAGTATTTTGTATGAACCATACCCGGTGAAAAATAAGCTGTTATTAAAGGAAGTGGCCTAGGGGTAAAAATGTGTTTTCTGAAAAGCAATAGACCAAAGATCTGATTCTGGGCCTAGTGATCTCTAGTCTCTGACCTTGACAAAGTAAGTACATAACATTATTTTAGGAAAGAAGTTTATCTGTATGACACTTTTACCAACACTGAGTCCTCCACAGAAATCTCTTGTTAGGTATTTGAAAAGTGAAAGTCCCACTTTTCATACCTGAAGAGTTTTTTGACATTAAAGATTTTCCCCTGAAGAGTAATTACTTAATTTGGGGCATTTAGGAAGGGTGGAGCTACAAAACAAAAATTTTTTTAAAAAATAAAAAGGATTTAAGAACATTCCTTCCTGAAGTTTGTGCTTATACTGAAATCCTTTGCCCACTTATCAGTCTACTAAACAGAAGATGGGCTTATTTAGGTGACTAATGGGACACCGTGAACAATCTCATTTCCTCATATCTTATCACACATTAAGATATTTTGAAAAAGTCTTGACAGTGTACCAATTATTTTAGAAAAATCCTGAAACCGTTAACTTACATTAAAATTAAAATGCAAGTGGAAATAGGTTTCTTGTTTTCATTAGAGCTACCTTCAACCTTAAACCATCTTTGCACATTTAATTTCAAATGAATACAAATTCAAAGTGATTCTTTAGTTCAAATTTGGAAACTTTAATTCCATCAAAACATGAAACCTATGGGTTTTGCTAAACTGTCCAAAAGCCCAAATAAAAAAGCCACTAGGCTTTTGAGCGAATTGTTTAAAAATGTGTACACAGATGAAATGAAACGGACTGATGAACTACTGAACCTGGAATCTGAAAATTCATAAATCTTATCCTTGTAAACAAAACCTAACGAAACCAGGGCCTGCTGATTTCCTTCTTTCGTAATCTGAAACAAAAAGTTTTAATGACTTTTAACATACTCAGAAAATTAAGGGTGCCATTTAAAATCTTTACCAGCAAAGTACAGTTCAGTTTTTCAGTGCCTGGAGTATAATCAGAGACAGTTGAACGCTCTGGTGCTGCAACAGAGGAAAACATCCAAGAACGAAACGCTAGGATTTTGTTAAACTCAAATCTGTGTTAGGATGTTTTGTTTACAACAGTACTTCTGCCTCATTCCATTCAAAACTCCCATCTCCATGCCACCTTCCATATGAACCATAATTTTATTTTATTTAAAATTTTTTTTAACGTTTATTTTTGAGACAGTGAGAGACAGAGCACGAGCTGGGGGAGGGGCAGAGAGAGAGGGAGACACAGAATCTGAAACAGGCTCCAGGCTCTGAGCTGTCAGCACAGAGCCTGATGCGGGGCTGAAACCCACAGACCTCGAGATCATGCCCTGAGCCGAAGCGGGACGCCTAACCGACTGAGTCACCCAGGCGCCCCCATCATTTTAAAAAGTTCTCAATCCACTTCGAATCCTCTGAAATGTACCATTTAGAAGCTGGTGCTTATTTCTTCCGGACAAACATAAAGGTTGAGTCTGACTATGGCCCTTGGTTAAAAAAGAAAAGAAAAAAGAAAGTACCTCGGGGTGATGTGGACTGTCAGCCCTCCATACTTCATCCCAAATCTACCTACACATCGCATCTCCAAGTCACCAAAGGAGGACGAGAACGAGAGCGACAAGATGTCACAGATGAAGGGGATGTAAAATTATCCACATTTAACCATTTTACAGATGAGGAAACTGAGGCCTTGAAAGGTCCAACTACTCTGCTAACACTGACCCCAGCTGCCGACGCTCCGTTATGGGAATCACAGCTGCAAAAAATGTAACTTTGAAGGTCTCGGGGTTGGGTACTTTCCACAACAAGTAATTAAGGACTCCATTCCTGCATTTTTCACCTTCAAAAAACCTTCAGGATCTCACAGACAGTTAGGAACTTAACCTTTCCGTTTCCACCAAAGGACACTTTAGCAGAGAACCATCAGTCAGCTCGGGGAAGGCAGGGCTGTCCTGCTCCAGGCAACATCTCCAGCACCTGGAGCACCCAGTAGGCGCTGAGTTAATAACTCTCTGCCTTCCACCTGACAACCCCCGCTCCCTTCCCCATCCACGCCCAGCCACCGGCGGGGCCAGAGAACTTTCCTTTGGAAATCGTTTCTTTCCTTGAAACTTGCATACAGTGACTCCGGGCCAAGAAGCCGGCCTGGGGGGGGGGGGGGGGGGGGGGGGGGGCGTGCGGGCTCCTCCCCGGAGCCACGGCCGGAATCGCTGGCCACGCAAGGGGGTGGCTCCGCCGGACCCGGGTGGGCGCGCAGCATCGCCCCGGGGCCGCGGCGACCCCAGGTGCGCCCGCTGGTTCGGCCGCCCGGCGGCCTGGGCTCCGGGCCGCGGCTCCCCTGCCTCCTTCAGATGCCCGAGCAACTTCTCAAACTTCCCTTTCCGGGGGGTGGGGGCTCGCCTCGGACGCGGCCGGCGCAACGCCTTTCCTGCCCGCACAAAGGGGGCCCGACGCGCCCCGGGCCCCCTTCCCCTTGAACTTTCCTTCTTTTCGGAAAGAGAAACTCCCGGGCCGGCGCCTGAGGGAGCCGAGCTGCGTGGGTGCCACCGAGGGAACTCGCCCGTTTCCGCCCGAGCGCCGGGGGCGCCCGGGGCCGACTGTCAAGAGCGGCGGGGAGCCCCCCTCGGCGCCCCGCCGCGCCCGCCTGGGTGGGGGTGGGGGGCACTCACCGGACTTCAGAACGTGCGGCGGGATCGTGCTGGCGATGCGCGTCCACAGGACGATGTGCAGCGGCCACAGGCCCCGGAGCAGCCCCCGACCCATGGCAGCCCCCGCCGCTCGTCATAGACCGGAGCCCCGGCTGCGCCTCCGCGCCGCGCCCTCTCGGGACCCTGCGCCCGCCGGCCGGGCAGATGCGCGGGCCAGATGTGGCGCCGCTCGCCAGCCGGGAGGGGGACCTGGAGGCCGGCGGCGCGCGGGGAGGCCCCCGGCGGCCGAGGGGAGCTGCGCAGGAGGCCGGCTCCTGCCCCCGGCGAGCGCGCGCGCGGGGGAGTCGTCGGGCGGTGCGCGCGAGTGACTCACTCAACTTCACCCGGGCGCCGCGGGGGAAACAGGAAACTCCTCGCCAACAGCTGGGCAGGACCTCTCGCCGCCCGAGAGCCTTCTCCCTCCGCTCGGCTTTCAGCCCTCGCTCTCTCTCCCGCCTGCCAATCAGGGCCCTGAGACCGGCCCCTCCGAGGGCCCTGGCAAACTTTCAGCTGCCCCCACCGCCCTCAGGAGTTCCTGGCTCCGAGTATTTTGCCCCCCGCGTGAACAAGGGCACGCGTTTCACAAAGTAGCTGAACACACAAAGTATGCACGCTTTGCGCAGCACCCTCACCAAGCATCTCACACACACCCCCACCACCACTCTGCACAACCTCCTTTGCATTGTTCCTGGGTGCTCAAGGATTGTGTTTTCAGCCCCCCCAAGCGCAGACCAGCGAGTGGATGCCGAAAACTGAGTTGTGAGCGCAGTTTTGTTGCAAATAAAAGCAAGAAAGTTTTGTTTCATTGTCAAATGTTTTTCTCTACTGTAGGTCTAAGTCCAGAAGTTCTTTTCTCTCTCTCTCTCTCTCTCTCTCTCTGTAATGTGCAGGTTAATCAAATGAGTATCTTGCTAAAATGTGTAATTCTGATCCAGGACACCCAAGGTGCCTCATTTCCGACGAGCCTTAGGGTGCTGCCTCCCAACTGAACTGCCTCTTCCCCGAGGTGCTTCAGGGACCAACTGTAAATGAGCAGCCACCACAGAGCGATGATGGTGGGACATTTCATGTGTAGAATGGATGGCGGATGGCAGTAAATGTTAACTATAAAAGTGGTCCGGGAGTCCAAAAAGTGCCAGGGTTTGCATTCCAATGCTGTCTGTGAAGAGAGAGAAGTCCTTAGGGTCTCCTCTGCAAAAGGAAAAAACGGGGGCAGGTAGACAAACTTTTAAGCCTCCCCTCTTGCTAGGGTGACTAGATTTTCACTAAAGGATCCTGGTGTACACCTGTTTCGAAGTTGGATCATTCGATCACCGCCTTTTTCTTTCCCAAGTGTCTTGGTTGGATAAGGAATTATATGCTCATCCCTCTTCCAACTCCATATAGTTCTCTGGACAGATCGTCAGCAGGTTACACAATGAGCTTCCTTTCTTGATCAGAGAGAAACATTATTTACAGAGGCAGGTGGCCAGGCTCACTGGGAATAAAAGCAAATAGCTCTCCCGGGAACCCCAACTCCAGAAAACCTCCCTGATCATTCTGAGAGTTCATTTGCTTGATCCTGAAGCCTTTGGTCTTGTCACCATTTTTGCACCCAACGCTGGGGCTGCCTCTGAATGTGTCTTAGGGAAAGACCACTTCCCAGCTCTCCCGTGTTCAGGATGCGGGGAGGTGCAGGGACACCAGCAGGGCTGGGCATCTCACTCGCCAACAGCCTTGCCGCAGCTGGAGCCACTCCAGACACCAAGGAAAGTTGAGTTCAGAATCTGTGTCTTGCCATTTCCTCCACTGCCAGCCCTTGGGTGGGAGTCTCCCAACCTTGCATCCCCAGTCATGGCCACTGTGAGCCACATCACCCAATTTCTCAAATCAGAGCTAACCTAATGTTCATTTTTCAAAATGCAAACCTAATTATACCAATCCTCTGATGAAATGCATTCAATGGCTTCCCACTGCTCTTGAGAGAGGACGGAGATTCGATCCTTCAATTCCCTTCCTCTCTGGTAAACTTTCACTGGGTTTCCCTTCCTCTCCTGCTCAGAGCCTTCTCCAAATTTCCTAGAGTATGTCCCCTATTCCTTTTGTACCAAGACTCCCCTAGGACACTCTTCCCTCTCTCTGTTCTTCCTTTCCTCTTCACCTGGCCAATTCCTGGTCTTCTTGGTAAATCCTAACTTCCTTGATGGACAAGATTTCCCTGACCTCCCTGAATAGATCTTTTATTATAGGTTCCCTTGGCACCTTATGCTTCTCATTTTTAACACTTACTACAGGTGTAGTTTTATAATTATTTGTGTCATCGTTTCATTTCGATTCCTCTCTCCAGCTCAAGTCCAATTTTTTGAGGATGGGGATTAAATGTTTCCCTCTGCTCACTGTTGTATGATTAGTTCCTGACACATAATAGGTGTTTAATAAATAGCTGTTGGATAAATGAAAGGATAAGCTAATAAAGATTCAGAAGAAAATTGGACTTCAGCACCCTACTTATTCCACAACTCTGGAGAAGACATTCTATTACCTAATAAACTGAGATGTAAACAGGCTAGTTTTTAGCTACAGGTGATGTCACTATTACTTCCTTTTTCTTTAAAAAGGAGAAGTGTGTGGGTATTTTCTTTCTTCTTTTTTCTAAATTTGCCCAAGTTCCTCTGGACAGCATGCATATACTTTCTTACTCCTCCAGACATACTGGGAGGCAAGTAAATCCCCAGGTGATTCCAAAGGCTTTTTTTTCTATATTTAATGCAAAGACAGATGTTTTATGTTGTTAGAGGCCAGGTTTACGATATTCAGTTCCTTGGCAGAGAATTTAACTGGTGGTCCTTTGTCGTCATGTATTAGTAATGTTGACTTTAATGTTGTTTGCCTTTAACATTTCTGATTTAATCCCCAATCTCCTGTGAAATTGAGAGTCTGAATTCTGCATTGCCAAACGCAAACTCATCCTTCAGGAGCCATCACCCCGCTGAAATCAGAGGCATTCAAACTGACACATACTGCAATATGGCGATCTTAAAAATTTGTCACTGTGACCTTCCTTTTGGGATTCTCGCTGTAAAGAAGTCTGACGCTCTCAGCTAAAACATTGTTTTCACACAAAATTTTATGTTTGACTCAATACAATTTTCAGTTAATATACATATGCAAAACTTGGGCCATTTACAGATTAAATTAAACCCCCCAACATGGGACTTAAAAAATGAAGAGAGTAATTTGTAGGCCTTTACCGCGTTGAAAAACAATAAAAAACAAGCTGAACCAAAGTTAAATAGCTTGAGTGTCTTCACGTTTTCAGTTTTACAAACTCTGAGCAGGCACGTGCGTGCGTGCACACACATACACACACACACACACACACAACAATTGGACTGACTAAAAATGTGGTTAATTTAAGCCCTTCATTTTCCAGTTGCAACGAAGCCAGAACTTTCTACTCCCCTCAACTCTTTGACGCGCAGCTGCTGAGGTTACTGGCAACCAAAGCAGTTGACAGAAGGCTGCCCTTCATATAAATCAGTCATTCTGCTTTCTCAGCTCTTATCTCTTGACCAGTTCTCCTTCTATTTTGAAACAGGCCAATGAGCACTGAGACAATGCTGAACGTGCGAGGAACACCCGCCCCTTTCAGAATCCGATGCAATGTTAGCTCCTCCAGGAAATATTTTGTGATTTTTCCAGCTTAAAATGATCTGTCCTCTCCCAGGGGTAACCCAAGGAGCTTTTCGTTTATTTTACCTATTTTGTAATGTGTATCTCATTCTGACACGGAGTGTGTTATAATTATTCATTATTTTTTTGGAATTCAACCCCATCCCCCCTTGTAAAATCCTTGGAAATATAGATTATCCGTTTTCCAACTTTGCGGCCTACAGTATTCCATGTATGTTTCCTGTCTTTGATAAAGGGAAAAAATGAGAATATCTATTTTTCTGATCCATCCCCTTATTTGCAGTTCTCCACAGACATTAACAAAACCTACTATTATACCACATATTTAGAGAAAGCAGGAATTGTTTCTTTTGGAGAAAACATAGTTTTCTTTTAAATTGCAAAAAATAATGTATATTCACTTTAGGTGGAAAAAAACCCTAAAATACAGATAAGCCAAAGGCAGAAAACAAACAAAAAAAGATCCTTCACTCTATCACCTAAATATAATCACTTGTTAACATTTGGGATCACGTCCTTGCAGTGCTGTTCTGATCTTCACTTCACGAGTGAAGAAACTGAGGATTAGAGAGATTAAATAGTTGGGCAAGGTCACGTAGCTAGTTAAGGGAGAGGCCCCAGGTGTAAGCTGATGCCTGTTTAGCTTCAGAGTCTACTGCTCGAATAAGTTGATCAAGTGGTTGATCCTAACCACCTGACCAGCCTGATCATCACAGTATATTGGGCTGATTAGAGCCCACCTTTTGCTATTACTCCTTCCTCTCTTTTTTATTTTTTTTAAAAAAAATTTTTTTAATGTTTTATTTATTTTTAGGAGAGAGAGAGAGAGAGACAGCGTGAGCAGGGGAGGGTCAGAGAGAGAGGGAGTCACAGGCTGAAACAGTCTCCAGGCTCTGAGCTGGCAGTCAGCACAGAGCCCGATGCGGGGCTCGAACCCACGAACTGCGAGATCATGACCTAAGCGAAAGTCGGACGCTTAACAGACTAAGCCACCCAGGCGCCCCTACTCCTTCCTCTCTTACTCATTGGTCAACCCATGGAAGTCTCCTCTCCATTGGAAAGTACTTTTGCTCAGCTCCCATCTTGTCTTCCACTTGTACAGTGGGTGAGCACATTCCAACCAGCGGCTTGCCTGCCATCTTCCTCTACTGCCTTGGATGTTAACAGCCTGCTCACCTCTCTCCCTTGGCATTCTCTCTCCTTTGACTTCAATGTTCCTATGTTATGGTCTAAATAGTATCCTCCCAAATTCATATGTTGAAACCCTAACCTTCAATATGACTATATTTGATGATAGGAACTTTAAAGAGGTAATTAACATTGAAAGAGCTCAGAAGGTTAGGGCCCTGACCCGATATGACTGATAGAGTCATAAACAGAGAAACAGATAGCTGGTAGGCAGATGTGTACACATGGAGAAAACGCCATGTGAACACACCATGGAAGGCAGTCAGTCACGCTCAAGCCAAGGACAGAGGGCTCAGGAGAAACCAAACCACCAACACCTTGATCTTGGACTTCCAGCCTCTAGAAGTGTGAGAAATAAATTTCTGTTGGTTAAGCCACCCAGTCTATGGTATTTTGTTAGGGGAGCTCTGGCAGGCGAGTGTCCCCCCATTTCCTGCTCTTCTGTCTCAATATCTTGACAGGTTTGTCTTCCTCCACTCATTGGTTCAATGGTAGTGCTTACTAATTCTGTTTACCGCCCCGCTCTCTCTCATCCCGGGAATGCGTCTATTTGTATGGCGTCACCAAAA